ATTTGATTAGAAAAACTGCAGTCACATTTATCCATTTTTACTTTTATTTCTTGATTTGCATTTTTTTTTTAATATATATTCTTCTTGTTCGTTTAGTTCTAGATTTTCCTTAATTTTGTATCTTACCATAAAAGAAAATTGCTGCAGTAAATGCTTCCAAGCAAAAGGTGTAATTAATTGTGATATTTCCATTGATAAGTATCCCGTTTAAATTCAATTATTTCCCGCTTAAAGAGTAAATCGTGAACTTCTTTATCTCTTTCAATTCGCAATGAAGATAACACCTTCTTGAAATCAGTGAAAAACTGGTCCAAAGAAGACAGTTTTTCAATACCTGCTTTCAGCTTTTGATTAATATTTTCTAATCTATTGGTTGTATAGTTTCCAAATGTTAGGCAATGACGACGATATGCACAGACCCACTGCTCCTTTATGTCGTGCCAATTTTTCTCATAATATGCTGTAACTTTGGGAAAATTGAAACTTATTAAACTCTGGTATAATTCTATATACCCTTCGTCACTATGACTATATGTTATCCTCTGTATCAAACTCAGGCACTGTTCTCTTTGAGCAGACGAAATTTTCATTTTATCCACAGTAATTTCCCTTCGAAACATCTTTAGGGTGTGGTACAAGCATAAGAACAGCCTAGAATCTGGAAATTCCTGCTTAAAAATGTGACGTTCCTTCATGTCCTTATCAGTGAAAATAGTTTTTGTTGCCTCCCAGTTTGCATTTTCTTTTTTGAATAACTGAATCACTTCGCCTAAAGTAATTTCGTCCTCATCAACCACCAAAAAAGAACACACAATTTCACTACATCCATTTCCATCAACAGTGAGTAGTAGGTACAGCGGCATTCTCAGGTTATTGAGTTTGTAGGTGCCATCACACATTAATATTTCCGCAAAGTACTTGAACATTTGTTTCATTGTCTTACTTTGGTACTAAATTGCTTTTAGATTTTTGTCGCTACTTCGGAAAATGTTGACTGAGTCTCATTCTTGAATAAGTTTCGGGATAATTTCTTCGAGTTTGTTTGTGTTTAATGGTGCTTTAGCAATTGACTTTATATTTCTAATGTCTTTCAGGGTTACTATTTGGTTTTTTTTTTGACATAATATAGTTTTGTGCGTCTTTTGAATTGGTTTTCATTTGCATAAGATTCATTTCTTCTTTGTCACTTGGATCCAGTTTGCGATTTCTAGCCATAAATTTATAAGAGGATTCTTCAAGTCTGTTATTATGCTTATTGTTAATTTCTGTAATGCACAACTGATGATTATCGTTAATACTTATTTTTATCCTTGCATCGTTTTGTGTCTTGTCTGGCCGCTTGATTTACTCTTAAAATTTGTCCCTCCTTTGGCGCATGCATAATCAGTTTTGTAATATTGCACGTCATCACTACAGTTAGCGGCCTTTCTCTTCTTTTTCTTCTTTGCTTCGGAAATTGTTATATTACTTCTCTTGTAAAAATGTATATAATTCTTGTCTTCGTAATTTTTTAAAATTAGTGCTGACTCTTCGTAAATTTCGAAAGTTTTTCCGACTGTTAACATATTCTAACTTTACTCTCTTGTTATTGAAAAGATGTGCAGTACTTGCAGAAATTATTAAACTTGATTTGGAGTTTCAAGGTACATTGGGAACATTTGTGGCGGCAAAAGTTGGAGGTTATGCTTATATCTGCAAAGCAATGATTGGACTTGTGTAGTTACTGAATGGTACTAATATACACGCACATACCTTTTATCAATTTGATGATGGTCACTAAATAAGTATTTAAGGAAACTAAACTGAAAAATAGGCACAGTAACTGAGTAAAGAGTAAACAAATGCTGCCAACAGGCGTCAGAATCTTTCGTGTGTGGGCGTACATTTGTGTGTACGAATAGCGTTACAGTTATTCGTACACACTGTGTGTATGAATAGCGCTGCAGTTATTCGTACACACTGTGTGTATGAATAGCCCTTGTACTATTAGTACATAATGTGTATACGAATAGTCACTCCGTTTTTTTTTATCAGGGAAGATGAAAATGGTTACTTTAATTTATTGGGGAGATTTGGGGTATACAGGTGCTCTCAAGTTGAGACATTTTAACACGTGTTGCTATGCCTCATTCTGGAGAGATTTCGCTTAAATCACGTCAGTAAAATTTGTAGAACCATTGATTCCATCTTTTTGAAAATTTACTTGTACTGAAGAGCATTGATAACAAAGTTTCAAGTAAAAATCGCAATAAAAATATTTTGCCTCGTACAAACATTGTCACCTCCTTTTATTTTCTTATAGGTGGAACCTCGAAAAAATCTGAAACACGTGTTTCATTATGTGTATTGAGGAGTATTAACACGAATTCCACGTAAAGATTTACAATAGAAACATTTTTTCTATACAAACTTCGCCAAGGCGTTTCTAATTTGCAGACCACAGTTTATCTTGCAGACTGGGGGTTAAAAATGCTCCAATCAAGTTAAAACTCGACATTTGCTTATTTCTCAATACGAAGATTGTTGATACAAAATTTCAACCCGTTCGAAGAAACCGTTAAAAACTACCCCCACAACAAATTTGCAGACTGGTGCTTAAAAATACTCGTACTCTAATCAAGTCAAAATTTGACATTTGCTAGTTTTTCAATACGGGGATTATTGATGCAAAATTTCCGTCTATTCGGAGAATAGGGGTTAAAAATACTCCAGTCAAGTCAAAACTCGACATTTGCTTATTTATCAAAACGAGGATTGTTGATACAAAATTTCAATACATTCGGAGAAATCCTTAAAAGAAACAAACTAGGGATTAAAACAGCGCCGGACTGGCTCGCCCGGCTATCCGGCGATCACCCTAAAAGCTCAGGGTCCCTAACGAATCACTTCAAAAAATTATTTTATTATTTAAATTTAATTTAGTTTTTTTAATTTATTTTTTTATTATTTTATTGTTAATTATTAATTAATTAATTAATATTTAAATTTAAAAAATATATAAATATCGAATATAGGAGTATTTGTTATAGATATGTGAATTGCGATAATTTGAGTTCATGTTTATCACTGTTAGATAATAATCAGTTGCTACTATGTAAGAATGCATAAGTTCGGCATTTTTTCGTCCAGTCTCTCATTCTATGGTGTGTTTTTACACGTCATTTTTGTTGTTGACTTGGTTCATTCAGTACATACTATATGCTGGTTTTTAGTTCTTTGAGGTAGAATTAAACTTTCATCATCAGTCAAAAAATACAAAGTGGTGTCCAGAAGAGAAAATTTGAAATTCATAGGAAACAAAATCTTAAAGATATTTTAAAGAAAATTAGAGACATTTTTAATTTCTGAGAAACCTAACGTAAAAAAAAGACGTTTTGAGAGAAAGTTTAAATTAATAATAGGAAGCTCAAACTTAATTTTATTTGAATTTCAAAAAGAACCCAGAAAAGTGCTAATTTCTTAATTAATTATTATTAATGGGAAAACAGATAAAGATCCGTTATAGTCAATACGAGGCAAAACTGTCTTCATATGTAGGTCTTACAACCTTTGGATGGTGTCCACGTCCATTTCTCTAACTTTCTGGTAATTTGTTCTTGTAAATTGGCTTCCCAGCCGTTGTTGTAAACCTTTCTACTTAGTATTGCCCGAATTTTGTTTTCGATTGTTCGCACTGGGGGCACTATGGGGGGATTATCTTAGGTACAAAATTTATATTATTTCTTTCTAACCAATCCCTGGACATTGTAGTATAATGGCATCTTGCTAAATCTGGTCAAAATATTACATCGCCGTTATTATGGTGTTCCCATATATTGTTATGTATTGACCGCGTCACTTCTAATACGGCCAATGAATGGTGCTGAACCGCGAGCCGAAGATGTAGCCCATGAAACCAAAATTTTATCTTCAAACTTTGCCTTCGACTCACTTTTATTTGTAATTTCTTCTATCTTGTTTGTATAAAATCCATCCTTCCATCTCTGAATAGGCAAACGTAAAATATTTTTCATCGCCCAGTACAATCACACGATTGTCCAAAAAATTATGAATTCTCAATAGCCGGCAACATCTGAGAATTCTCTCTAACTGCGATGCTGTATGTTTTGAACATTTAGCTCTTTTGCTGTCTCTCAAATTGTCGCTCTGTTTCTGTTATTTTGTTAAATTAAATTTAATTCTGTGTTTATTTGTCTTCTTTTTTTGCTAATTTATATATTATGTGTCCATAGTGAATAGTTCTTTAATGAAATAACGATCACTAGTTAAATTAATAATTTTTAAAGTTTGGTTTTGCGAAATTTTTTAGGGTGGCCGGTTTTTTTGCCGGTCAGTGTATATGCATTAAAATAAAGTTATAAAAGGTAACAAAACAATATTTTTCATAATTAAGAATGCATGTTAAGATCATTAGGTGATGTAGGAATTAGCTCGGTTTGCGCGAAGGTGGGGATAACACGACGACTGTAGCAATGAATCTTAACCAATTAAAAACTCAAGTAAATTTGCTGCTGCGGCTTTTATATGCTTTCTTATGAAATTATTTTTGTTTTGTGTCTAGTATCCCGCAAACGCTTTCGAGCACGCCACTGGAACAACCAGTTTTTCGGAGGACCTGGAAGAACCATTTATGACCCTAGTAGAAAGTTCGGTACCAGGCATTTTTTCAAACTATCTTCCCTCCTCTCATTCTACCTCTATGGTGCGCAGCTACTTTAGAAATATGTACTGTCTCTTTATATGTGTCTAAATTTTTTCTGCTACTTGTACTTTAAATGAATGTGAACTATCAATCATTTTTATAAGTTGCTTCAAGGTGACTAAAATTTAACATGAGAATTTACCTCAGGTAGTTTTAGCCAATAAAAACGCTTTATTTTTAAAAATTCGACCAATCAGATTCATAGAAAAAAAATTATTTCGAAAATTTTTTTGGCTTAAAAAATTATCGCGATAATTTTTTTATGTCAATAAGTCAAATAACTCAAAACATTGTTGATTTATTTTGAACTGTCAGAATTAAATATAAAAGTACACTTATTATAATTATAGGTACTATTAGAAGACGCCTTCGCTTGCAGCTCATTGGTTGCAGATACGACAGTGTTCGATTCCTTTTCTTGCAAACGCATTTTCTTAATGATTTGTTCATGGTGTTCTGTGTCAATTTCCAAATAAGGCGCCAGTGAACTAGTACTAGCATGACCTGTAATTTTTATAATTTGTTGTTCGTCAAGTCCAGATTTTGCCAGGTGTGACACAGCCGTAGCTCTGTTGGAGTGGTTGGTTATATTGATGTTACATACGTCTAAACCAATTTTTTCTGCTGCCAATTTGGTCCATTTTCCTATTTCGTTCTTGCCTACAGGACAATTTTTGTACCATGGGGAGTTGTCGTTTTGCCATTGCGGATTCGGAGTTAAAAAAAATCTCTCCGTAGTAATATTTGTGGTCCGTTTTGACGAAAGTTTCTTGAACAATCTAAATAAAAAATAGATACCATGAAAACCGCAACTGGAGTTGTTTGGCTGTATGAAACCTACCTTACGGGACAAATATTTAGGTCGTCCTTGTTAGCAATTAACCATTTACTGTTGGCCAAGGGTTTTGCACCTCCTTGTGTAGTTTTTGAAAACACCGAATTGTATTCTATTCTGCCAGTTTCCTCTCCCTTATTATTTTTTTCAATTTTAAAGTAATGGAGTAGACAATTAGCCGCCTCCCCACCACGCCATGCAAGTTCATACGCTGAAATTTGGTAGAATTTCTTTTGTAAACCGGCTGGTGTGTCCTCGTTCCAAGCTGTCACCATTTTTCGTATTTCATCACCAGAAAGAACTGTTGAACTACTTCTTCTTTTTTTTAATGAACTTTGCAAAGTTTTTCGTTTAGCATCACGAGCCCTTCTTGCTTCGTTAAACGTTGAGTCAGAACATTGATTAAATACATATAGATAGACCCATGCTATTGTTTGGAGCGAACAGGCCAACGGCCGGCGAACAAGAGATGGCGCACCAACAGTCGGCCGTCAAACGCCGGCGAAAAGCTTGGACACCAATCGCGCGTGTAGATAACCCAAATCGCAGCAACAATACATTTAATAAAGCTACCACTCGACAGAGGGTGACGAAAACAATGTGTAAAAATCTCATAGTAAGCATTTATATAATTTGCAACGTTGCCAGATGAGCCTAGCACAACTTTGCCGTTATTTCTAGTCGATTAGATTTTATTTCGTTTAAAAGTTTCTGGTGAATAAATGGAATTATTATAATGAATAAACAATACAAACAAATTATTACTTGTTATTTTAAATACTTGTTAGTGTTGATGAAAACATAAATGGTAATTAAAGTTATTCTAAATACGGTCCGGTCCGGTAGCTCAAATTTTACAGTACGAGTGATATGTTTCAGGACGAGTAGGTAGCCGAGTCTTTAATTTCGAAACGAGTACTGCGAAAAGAGTTACCGGACGTATGTTATGTATTTTATTTCATACTGTCAACATACTTTTTTATTCGATAAAATTATTATTATTTTGAGAAAAAATCCAAATCGAGTCACTTTTTCTCACATCGTTAGCAACCGCTCTTTGGTAAATGTTTTAATTTGTTTACTCGTGCAAATCAGCATCATATGTTTAAACACATAGTACTTATAACACTTTACAGGACTTATTGTTTTGTATAATCCGACTCGATGGACGAATGTTTTGTGCAATCCGTCTCGAAGGACCAATGTTTGTGCAACTCGGCTCGTCCTACCAGTATTTTTTGTAAACTGGTTGATACATCAATGTGATACCGAATTGTACTTTGATATTGCTCCAAGGACCTTTGTTTTCTTGCGTGCAAGATAATAGACAGCGTTCGGTTTCGATGTTTAATACAGGACGGTTACAGAAGTACTAAATTTACATTTGTATTGACAATAACAGGTAAAGCAAAAGAGACCCAAAAGGGTCAGTGGCCGCTTCCGGAAATGGAACACTTGTCCTTTTTGGCTCAATTTTATCGGACTTGTCCGTTTTTTTGATTTTACCGGAATCGTTCGATCCACTAAAACGTCAAACTTGACATAGTATAAAGTAAAATAAATAAATTGTATTCAATTTTGACATGTAAACAAACGTTTATTTTGCCGTCAGTAGGCCACTAAAGCTTTGGTTTATCCGGCAGCACCATAAAATTTTTAAACCGCTAGCGAAATAAAATTTTTATTTTGCTGTTTTAAAACCATGGTTACCATTTCTGTAATTTCTCCAATGCCTTGCTGCTCTTTCCATCTAAGGAACTTTTGATACACTTTCTGATTTGCGCTTTTTTGGGAGCAAGTTTTGCCGTTGGAATCTTGCATGATTTTGCAATTTTTCGATAATTTTAGTTTATTTAAAATAAACAAACACCGTCGCCAGAGTCACATACTACACACACACACCTGATATTGTAACCTAAATTCTACGCATATAAAACTTTTATTTGGTCGCTGTCAATTCTGACGTTTCTCGAATGTGAACTTTGAATCACCAATTTTTTCACAATTTGGGACTTGGGGTTGTCAAAATTGAATAAAAGTTTGTATTACACTCGCGGTTAAAATGAATGTGTAACTCGTGGTCTTAAGGCGCTCGCGGCATACGCCGCTCTCGCCTTAAACTGGCCGCTCATTAAACATTCACTTTAACCGCTTGTATAATAAATAACTATTATGATGTAAATACAATTAAGTATATCGATAATTCGCTACTGAAAATTTATTGAAATATAATTTGTGTTAAAAAAAGATTTTTGTGGTTTTATGGTTTATTAACATAATTTACTTATTTGAAATTACATATTTTTAATACATAGCACAAGTTCTTGATATTCTTTATTTTTATTCCAAGTAATAATTGTGTTTCCTTTAGTTTTAATCAAGAAAATTTTTCGGTTATTATCTAACATACTTTTGTACATTAAGAAACTCCATTCCACGTCATAGGACGTTACAGGACAATATTTAAATAAATAAAGAAGTCGTTTTATGTGTTTTAAAATTCACTCTGATTTCCGGACTTTAGACTTTTTGGTGTTTCACTTCGGCACAAGAACTAGTCGTATCTCATAGAAAACAAACAGTGGAATATAGCGTATTGTACCTATATTTCATAGTAAAAATGTCTAAATTTTTTTATGAAGAGACAGACTGTTCTAGGAAACTTTACTAAATCTTTTCATTTACGAGCTATTGAAAGTCCGCCGGTCTCACTGATACTTCTTACTTGGCTCCTACGAATGAAGCGAAAAATGCACAGATTGAAAATATAGTAAATGGGGTAGTATGTATGCGTGATATGTCGTTAGACATTAAGTATTTTGCAAATAAAATTTATTTCATTGAAAACAGAAACAATAAAAAACATATCTGTACAAGTTTGGAATCGATATGGCCAGTTGTTTAGAATATGCAAATATGCTTTTGTTCGTATTTACAATTATTACGAAACAGGTTATCAAATAATCTATTTTCACATGGCGAGACTTTCAAGCGGCCGAAGAATTAAAAACCATAAATTTTCATTGAAGAAACAAACTCTTCCAAGAAAATTACCAAATCTTTTAGTTTACGCACTATTGGACGAGCACTCCTTAAAACGGTCAGTATACCTAATCGCATTATTCCATTGATACCTACCTACCGAAAACGTTGCCAGATGAGCCTAACACAAATTTGCGGATATTTCTCGTCAACCAGATATTATTTCATTTAGAAGTTTCTGGTAAATAAATGGGATTATTGTAATGAACACACAAAACAAATAAATTGTGATTATTATTTGTTGTTTTAACCCATTAGACGCTTATAGGCTTATAAGCATACTTTTCTTGAAAAATCGGTAATAAATTCAGTGAAACATCTTTGTGCCTTAATTCCTATTGGTAAACTGGGATTTTGAATAGAGGTCGCAGGAAAATTTTGTATGGTTTTATGGTTTATTTACATAATTTTCTTATTTACAATTAATGTTTTTGATATATAATACAAGTTCTTGATATTATTTATTTTAATTACATTTAATAAACCATAAAACCACAAAAATCTTTTTTTAACACAAATTATATTTCAATAAATTTTCAGTAGCGAATTATCGATACACTTAATTGTATTTACATCATAAAATTTATTTATTTTACTTCATACTATGTCAAGTTTGACGTTTTACTGGATCGAACTATTCCGGTAAAATCAAAAAAACGGACAAGTCCGATAAAATTGAGCCAAAAACACGGTGGTAGAAGAGACACTCTTCTACCTCCGTGGCCAAAAAGGACAAGTCTTCCATTTCCGGAAGCGGCCACTGACCCTTTTGGGTCTCTTTTGCTTTACCTGTTATTGTAAATACAAATGTAAATTTAGTACTTCTGTAACCGTCCTGTATTAAACATCGAAACCGAACGCTGTCTATTATCTCGCACGCAAGAAAACAAAGGTCCTTGGAGCAATATCAAAGTACAATTCGGTATCACATTGATGTATCAACCAGATTACAAAAAATACTGGTAGGACGAGCCGAGTTGCACAAACATTGGTCCTTCGAGACGGATTGCACAAAACATTCGTCCATCGAGTCGGATTATACAAAACAATAAGTCCTGTAAAGTGTTATAAGTACTATGTGTTTAAACATATGATGCTGATTTGCACGAGTAAACAAATTAAAACATTTACCAAAGAGCGGTTGCTAACGATGTGAGAAAAAGTGACTCGATTTGGATTTTTTCTCAAAATAATAATAATTTTATCGAATAAAAAAGTATGTTGACAGTATGAAATAAAATACATAACATACGTCCGGTAACTCTTTTCGCAGTACTCGTTTCGAAATTAAAGACTCGGCTACCTACTCGTCCTGAAACATATCACTCGTACTGTAAAATTTGAGCTACCGGACCGGACCGTATTTAGAATAACTTTAATTACCATTTATGTTTTCATCAACACTAACAAGTATTTAAAATAACAAGTAATAATTTGTTTGTATTGTTTATTCATTATAATAATTCCATTTATTCACCAGAAACTTTTAAACGAAATAAAATCTAATCGACTAGAAATAACGGCAAAGTTGTGCTAGGCTCATCTGGCAACGTTGCAAATTATATAAATGTTTAGTATGAGATTTTTACACATTGTTTTCGTCGCCCTCTGTCGAGTGGTAGCTTTATTAAATGTATTGTTGCTGCGATTTGGGTTATCTACACGCGCGATTGGTGTCCAAGCTTTTCGCCGGCGTTTGACGGCCGACTGTTGGTGCGCCATCTCTTGTTCGCCGGCCGTTGGCCTGTTCGCTCCAAACAATAGCATGGGTCTATCTATATGTATTTAATCAATGGTCAGAAAAAGGGTTGAACTTAATATTGTACTTGTAGTCGTACATTTCTTGGACTTCTTTGGCAACTACATTCCAAAGCGTCTTTACGACACACTTCTTATATTCCTCACCATTCTTACGCCTCATATTGTAGCCCCAATCTTTCAAAATGTTGGCGATTTCTTCAATGGATCTTTGATGGTCCAGTACATAATTTTTCTCCTGACAAAAGGCATTAAACTGTTTCCACGCAGATTTTTTTTATTTTTTTGTATTTTCTGGGATAGAATTAATAATTGCTTCATCAATAGTTTGAAAACAGGAACTTCCAAATCTCTTAGAAGTGCACATTTTTCTCGTACGTAAATTATTTTACTTTTAATAAAATTATTGTTTACGTGTCATTGCCATCGATACTAACTATATTGGCAACTTATTATTATTATTATTATTATTATTATTATTATTATTATTGAAATACGGGAACTCAACAGGTATGTAACCCATTTACCGAGATCCACAACTAC